GATGGCATGATGTCAGGTTGCCGCGACGTTGCCGGGTGGCATTCGTGAGGTCGTCTTTTCATCAAACATGCAGGGCTAGCAGGAGCCGCCACGCATCGTACAATTGTGCCGTACGTGTGGTGCCGTGCAGCTCCCGAAATGGCGCTGCATGTGTGGAGCTGTGGCGATTTGTGTTCGGAATTGGCAATGCTCTCACCGTGTTACTGTGCCGACGTATTCGTGTCCTCTGGTAAGTGCGATCCATTGTAATTGCAGTACATTGGCCCCCTGTTGGCCTCAGGTGACGGACAACCCTCCCGATGCTGACGGCATGTCCGCGTCGTCGGGGAACATATTTTGACTTTGCGGTTGGCATTCTGCTGCGTGTGCGCCGCATTAAGTTTCGCCTCGAATGGTTGAATCCCGCCTGTGCTTGGGGGAAGCATAACGGGCCAAGCATTGCGGTCGTGTCTTGAAATGGACAAGGGGATGGACGGATGGATGGGAGATGAATGCATGCATAGATGGAGGGATGGTGGATGCAGGTATGGAAGGAGGAATGGATGGATAGGATGATGTTATGGGACTATGACTAACTCGATCTCTAGTTGAAAGAGCCTGCTGCTCTCACTCTCTCACTGCTCTCTGCTGGCCTCTTTTGGCCCTGTGCAGGAGAAGAAGCCGATCGGCCGCTCCAGCACGCTGGCGAACGCGCTGCGCAGCGCCGGCGCTGTGATCTTCTGCAAGACCACCATGACGCAGCTGGGCGAAACATGGGGCGGCGGGAGTCCTGCACACGGGGACACCCTGAATCCTTGGGACACTTTGCGCACTTCCGGTGGCAGTTCCTGCGGCGAGGGCGCTTTGTTGGGTGCTGGTGGCTCACCTTTTGGCATCGGCTCGGATGTGGGCGGCAGCGTTCGGATTCCTGCGTCGTTTTGTGGCATCTGCGCGCTGAAGCCCACGGCCTTTCGTATGACTTTCAACTGGGAGACGGGGCAGTTCTGTGTCTATGTTGCGTTGCATGAAAGTTTGTGTGTGCGTGGGGGTGTGGTTGGGATGCAGTTTTGCAGGAGACGGGGCAGACGATCCTCGGACATGCAGGAGACTACGGGGTGTCCGGGCAGCATCGCAAAGGAGTCCTGCGTCAGTCGAGATGCTGCGAGTAGTCGTCAGGTCCCTGCAACACCTGGGCCCATGGCGCGGCATGTGGAAGATTTGATCGAGGTCTGTGCAGCCGTCTGGGACACGCCGTATTACGACTCAGACATACGTATTCCACCTTTGCCGTTTCGCAGAGAGGCGACAGAGGTCAAAAGACCNNATCGGCTGGTATACCCACGGCTACGTGTACCCAGAACCTTGCAGGTCAGTCGTGCGTGCTGTGGAGGAGACGAGAGACGCATTGGCCGCAGCCGGTCACACCCTCCTTCATGTGCAGCCCTGGGAGGCTTGCTCTCTGGCTGACATCATCGGCTGCGACATTGCATTGGAAAGGTTGACGGACACTGATGGCGGGCTGGTGGTTGGAGCAGTGCCGCTATCTTCTGGCAGCAACGACTCGCACCCTGACCATTGGACTCACCCCGCATGCCAGGCGGGCTGGGATGTCTTTCAGCGACTTGCAACATCGAGCCATGTAGGTCGAAGCAACAAATGGGGGGCGGGACAGGGGCGCTACACGGGAGAGCATCAACTGGGCCACTGCTCTAGGCCCTAGGCAGAGGTTTTCCAGCCGCAGACTTGGGTGAAGCTCAGCCTTTCCTCTCCGACATCAGCATCGCTCTGTTTGTCTGCACCAACTTGGACGTCGAAAACCTGGACGCTCTTCCAGACCTCACACCGGAACCTCTTTCCCAACAAGAGCCTCAGAGCTGAGCCCACGTCATGCTGAACTGCCCCAACAGTACAGTAAAACGTACAGTAAAACCATCCAAAGCCCCTTTTTCACCACATTCAGCCGCATGCTCATGCGTTCTGAACCTTCAGTTTTCGGTGTGTAGTTCTGGTACAAAGCTTGAGCTTTGTACTGTCACCCGTTTGGGTGTCAGATAAGGATATGGCGAGCCTCAGCAGCTGTACAGGGTCCACCTTTACGGGCCTACTGAGAGTACGAAGTGGGCAAGGTATTGTAAAGCTTTTGCGGGCCTAGCCTAGCCCCTCTGCAGGCTCTGGTCCCCAAGCCGGGAACGAAGTCAACGGTACACACGACAATGCCAGCGACGAATACGCCCAAGCGCTACCAGGCGGACTGGACTGTGGATTTGATAGGCTGTGAGGCTTTGCACGTGCTGTTGTCTTTGCAGGCAGCCATGGCCACCCGTGATCGGCTGCGGGACAAGTTCGCAAGGTTTTGGAAAGCAAACGAGCTTGACCTTGTTCTGTGCCCCGTATTTCCTTTCCCGCCACCTCCAGT